GCCTAACACGCGTTGCCGGTTAGTCTTTGACCGTAAAAAGGACAAAAGCTAACATATTCAACATTATGACAGGTTGTTATTAATAACGTTATAATCCGTGCCTTACACGCGCGGAGAATTTTATCCCGAATCCTAAGTAGGGATAAGTCAACGCCTAACACGCGTTACCGGTTTAGTCTTTCACCGATTGAAGAAGACACCAGAATCCAAGTCTGAGGATTTTTATCCCGAATCCTAAGAAGGGATAAGTCAGCGTCTAACACGCGTTACCAGGTAGTCTATTCCCGTAAAAAAGATAAAGTCTACATATTCAATATCGTAACACTAAGAGAGTTAACTCTCTTAGCACAACGTCACATGCGAAACGGACTTAAATAATCCGCATGCAAGCCCGATTCAAACGGTAATCGGTAAAGGCATGTCAAATCCGTTGAAGGTTGAAGATTTACCAAAAATCCTAAGTCTACGTCTAACATACGTCGCCGGTAGTCTATTCTCGTGAGAAAGACAAAGTCTACGTATTCAATATCGTAGCACTAAGGGAGTTAACTCTCTTAGCATAACGTTACATACGGAACAGACTTAAACAATTCGCATGCTAGCCCGACTCAAATAGTAGTCGATAAAGGCTCATCAAACCCGTTGATGGCTGAGGGTTTGCCAAAAATCCTATAAGTGAGAGTCATTGACGCACCAGCTTCATTAGTTGGTCTCGTGGCTTGAGGATCTAACAATTTCAAAATAAGAGCCCTACATACAGATGAATCAGTTTTAACAGTTGGTCCTGCAGCCCCAACAATTGGGACCGTCGCGCTCCAACGTCTTAAGAGCTTAAACTGTGTAGATTTCAGCAAACGTACGAGTATAAACTATGTTAACGACAGTCAACGTGTTACAGCAAAGGATAACGTCAGTCAACATGCTACAGTAAAGGTCGATGCCGATCAACGCATTAGTAATTTCGCTAAAATAAGGCAAAGGATGATTCCAAGAAGTTCAATCGCATTCAGATATGAATTTCTGACGAAGATGATCGGTTCAAAGTCAACTCAATGACACGGGCTAAATTTAGAAACTTACGCATCAACTTCAGTTCAAGATTTCGACAACGGTCAGACGATCAACGCAGTACTGGAAGAACTTCATCTATTCGACAAAACACTGAATATACTGAAGGCTGAAGAAGTCAAGAATTGAAGCAGTTCACAGGTCGCTCTACGAGATTAAGGAAATGACCTATCTTATCCAAAGTATTCCAGACTCTTCTATAAAAGAATGAGTGTGAAATACTTTGAAGAGGGTATCTGTAGGCGTCTAAAAATACCTATAGGTGTCCGCACACAACTCGAGACGGAGAAAAGATAACGAACGTTGTTATCCAAGTCTAAGAGGATTATCTGACGTTGACAAGTACATGAACCGGAATGGCGAACCAGCTGTGTCTTGTGCGCTCATCGGCTACCTCTAATTGGCCATCACACCTGTCGTTCAGCTCGCGCGCGTCAGTCAGCTCCAAGTGACTAAACACGCTCGTCAGTTAGCTCCAAGTGCTCGCCACGCTCGTCGGTCAGCTCCAAGTGCCATAAAGAAGCTGACTAGCGCATGAAACAAGTTAACGAAGCGTATAAGTCAACACGACGGGCAAATAAGTGAAACGACAGAAAATACTAGTCCTGGAAAGTAAAGTGCCAGAAAAGGAGTTCAACTGAGGCGGCAGACCCACGCCGGCGTGAGACGACGCAGGCCGACCCGCACCCCTGCGGGTCAGCACGACCTGTTTCGCGCCCTTAATTGCTTAAAACGCGTTTTCGACGGTTTTTTGCTGTTTTCTCGGGATTTGTTCGTTCCAGAGCATCTCAACTGATTGGATATCATCCACAAACATGGTTAGACCGTTGTCAATTGAAGATATGGCCAAATCTATTATTCTTATCCAAATACCCCACATCCGGAGCCCTATAAATACAAGCCTAGAGCCTCCTTTCACAGGGGGTGATTGATTATCAAGAAGAGGAGGTGCTGCCGAGTTGGAGAGCAAGGGAGCACGAATTTCAGAGGAGGCTAACTAATCTCGACGAAGTTCTTCAGCATAAAGAGGGAGAGTTCGAGAGATCTGAAGCCCTGTCCGTGCATTCCTCGAGATTAGGCTTGGTCTTAATCTCGAGAAGAGCTACTGATTTCGCTTGATCGATTTCAGAGCTTCAAGCGAATACTTCCTTGGTGAAGTAGGAGCTCTGTTAATTTTCTGTCAATCGGATCTGATCCGTGACGGTCCACGGATATCAACATCTTCGGCACAGGCAAAGATCCCATGCAAAATGGAGACTAATAAATAGGATCAGTGTGTAGTTTGACAAGAGTTGTAATCTTTCATTTTCATTGTAAAAGATATATTATAAAAAGATCAATTTTTTTATTCACTTGAGTTTATTGTAACGATTAAAGTTGTAATAGATTCAAGGTAATGAAAGCATCAACTTTTGACCAAAACATATATGGTTGTCAACTACACTTGATCCTTGATCGCGGTGCGAAGCCCACCGATGAACCTGAAAATCTGTTGTCCCTCTGTTCTGTTCAGGTTGTTTTGCACCGATAGTCTATAAAACTCTTGGGTATACTGCTGGATTGTCCGATCCTCCTGTTTACAATTTTGAAATTTTTAATAAAGGATTTGATCATAATTTGTCAGAAGAATTCGTAGACATAGCGCCTCCCTCATACATCTCCAAGTGCGAATATGTTGCTTGCCTTGGCGCCTGCGATTGTTTTGAAATTGCTCCCATCAAATAGAAGCTCCACTATGTAGTTTATAGGCCACATATTTAACATGTAAATTATTAGTAATTCTCATCAGGTTGAAATATTTCTCGACCTCAGCAAGCCAATCTAGAAAATCCTCCACATCAACATTTTCGCTAAAGGGAGATCAGCCTTGATCTTCGGAATCCGATCATTGTACCGACCAGGAGCAATAAACTGGTCATTGTTTGGACCGAAAGTTAGATCTTCCTCCCCTTTTGAATCCTCCCTTTTGTATCAGAATCCAAACCAATCCTAGTCGGCGGATCTTGAGGATTGGCCCCGCATCCAATAGGTCCTCCAGTCGGGGTAACTGCGCGTTGCCTAGGGTTATTCCCAATCTGCAAGTTCCGAAGCGCCTCCATCATCACCTCATGTTGTTGTCGTGATTGTTCCAGTTGTTGTTGCATCTGTTGTTGTATCAGTTAGAGTGTTTGGACGATTACAATATTGGGATCATTGTTGTTCTCAGCCATTGCGTCAGATGAACCACGCTTTGATACTAATTGACGTAGCGACGAAAACAAAGAAGCCTTACCACGGAGACTTCTTCCACAAACTCAAGAAAACACACCAATACTTTCTTCAAGAGAAATTTTATTTGATTCCAAGATATTCTATTTTAAGTTACATGACTCTTCTTAAATAGAAAAACAAACAAGACTCATAGTAAGACTAGAATTACAAAGAAAAAGAAAGTATCAAATCCTACCCTAAAAAGACTCCCTATAATAGAGGAAACAAATCATGAATCTAAATTGAAACTGTTTCCTAATTTAAGGGGGTGTTTGGTTGCACAATTTTATAGAAAAGTTTTCTCAAAATGTTTGACAAATGGCAATTCTGTAATTAATTTTTTTTTGTAGATTTCTGTAAACTGTGTTTGGTTAAAAAAAATTACAGAAATATTTTCTGTAAAGTACAAAAAATACCAAAATTTACAGAAATCAATTTCCTCTCAAAATGAGCGGAAATCGCCCAGAAATCTAACACCACATTAATACTTTTTTATAAAGTTGACACTTCTCTATAAATTTAGGGGGTGTTTGGTTCAATTTCTACAAATTATAAGAAATATTGCTATTTTCTATAAAGTTATGTGTCATTTTCTTGTTTTGAACCAAACAAACAAAGTAAAAAAAAAAAGGTACTTTTTGACTTCTCAAAACTTTTCCTATACTTTTTTTAAAAATTACAAGGAAATTATATTTTGGGTGGAAAACATTTTCTATAATTTATAGAAATTGAACCAAACACCCCCTAATTTGACTCTAGCATTGAATTTATTTTCTAATCTAAATAGACTCCAACTTTATTGCTAAAAATAAACTAAAAACTAATTATTATTGGATTTCAGCCAAAAATGGGTACTACTGATGATATTTTAAAAATCTGACAATCTGGTTGGCTCCGTCTCGTCGAGATAGGTGATTTACATATATGATATATTAGAATTCGCCTTCCGGATTAGAGGATATGATTGTTTTTTTGCAAAAGTCAATAATACGTATGAGTCGGCATTTAGCTCGTGATTGTCCCACTCCTCTATGAAATTGTCCGTTAAGCGTCCTACATCATAAACACGGTATATTTGTTTTGTAACAAGTCATGTAAAAGGATATATCGGCCAACATATCGGCTGCTATATCGGCCATATCAGGATATATCACTCAAAATTACCAAAAAGCAAAAGGCGATAAAGGATATTTAGAGACCATATCAGTTGCGACAAGCCTTGTAAAAGGATATATCTGGGGATATTCGGGGATATTTAAAACGATGTTTGTAAAGAGTACCATTACATTATCTTTGGTTAAAAAAATGTATAGTCATAGAAAACAGTGTTAAGGGTTGAAATTGAACATGATAGAGAGCGCAAATATGGATAAAAATTGTTATAAGGAGTTTATCGTACGGTTGTACCTGCTTTACTCTGGGGAAAAAACTAGATAATAAGTTTAAAGGTTGGGTATAATTATATCTCTATCCAACCCAAATCCGACTCTGAACCAATTGAGAGCAGAATCACATTAAAAACAGGCCTAATGTGATTGGGGTTGAATTTAGGTATGTCGAAAAATAATTAATCCTACCTCTTGAAGATGTGATTGGATTTGAAGTAGCTACATTATAGTATTAAGCCAATGTCATCCATAAATTGGCCTCATAGTCTTTTCACATTGTGCTCCTTTTCACAGGGTTACATCCCGTAGACTTTGTGGAGGACGGATTGAAGTGGAATGCAGCAGTTCACAACTATTGGACCCTTCTTTCACCACTGATTTTTTCAGATCACCCAAAGCGTCCAGGAGACGAGGACCCTTCACCACCATTCAACATGGTCAGAAATGTTCTCGACATGAATGCTCGGTTTGGTGGGTTTAATGCTGCTTTGTTAGAAGCTGGAAAGTCCGTCTGGGTTATGAATGTGGTGCCCTTGGTTGGCCCCAGCTACCTTCCTCTCATCCTCGACAGGGGCTTCATTGGTGTTCAACATGATTGGTACGCCACGTCTTTGCCGAGCTCCCCCTCTACCTTTGTGTGACTGATACTGTTGATAATTTTCTATTTTGGCCTTGAGAAACAGACAAGTTTTTGGGATGTTTTTGGTTTAGATATAGAGTTCTTTTTCTTAATTTTGCACATATTAGTTAGTTGGGTTTCCTTAAGAAGTCTTCCAGATTCTTGGGTGATCATGGTTTAGAACTTTTAGAATATAAAAATATAATAGTCAAGAAACAGCCCTAACCATAACTCAGAAGTTTTGGTGTCAACCTCCTAGATGGGATTCGTCTCATATTCAACGCAGAGGCAGACTTCGGTGAAAGTCATTGTGGGTAGGAAGACCACCTGCAATAAGGATGCTTCTTGATGAGGATAAAGCTGTACTAGAGCAAAGATGATCATGCCCTTCGCAATGCTTCATGGATCTTATGAGGAGCATCTGCTGGTATTAAAACAAAGTGAAAAGCGGGCCTGATTCATGGAATTCAGAAAAGGCCTCATTGTGGGATGAAGAGGCGAGCTTGATTCGTTCAAGAAAAAAAGAATGAATTAAGTGGAAAGTCTTTGGTGTAGGAATCTAGGCATCCGCGGATGAGTGATCTGCCTTTGAATGGACCTTTGATGTGGTATTAGAGATTCAGAGCAAACCAGGTTCAAGTCTCACCGGCCACAAAATTGAAGCGTTGAAATCCCACAAGCAACGAATTTAAAGTGGATTAAAAAAATGGTAAGGCTGCATACTTCCAGGCTGCGTGCATCCAGGTTTCAGCCCTTGAAAGGGCCCTCAACCCCTGGAAGCATGTCTGGACATAAAAATGTAACCCTTAACCGTCCATTCCATGTCATAGTGATGGTGCAAACAGCCACTGAATCCACTCCTCTTGTCCTAATTTCTCAATGTAAAATTTACTTGCTTGTCCATCTCTTGGCATGTCCTGAATACTTCCGAATGTAAAATTTATATGGCTGTCCGTCTCTTGGCATGCTGTTTGTTTGTCATGACCTGCTACTATGGCTTGTATGCCTGTAATAGACCATTTCGAGATTGTGGAACACTTTATTTTGTCAGAATAGTCACCACTTTAATACACGTATTGGATTTTTTTTCTTACTAACAATTAATGAGTTTATATTTTATATATATTTTTGCATAATTTTTTGGTCTACCATGTTTCTTCATTAACTCATTTATTAAATATTACTATGCTTAGGTGTGAAGCATTTCCAACATATCCAAGAACTTACGATATGGTTCATGCTGAAGGATTGTTGTCTGTTGAAGGTCATCAGCACCATAGATGCTCCGTGCTTGACATATTCTTGGAGATTGATCGTATTTTGAGACCAGAGGTATGAGCTATTTATTTATGACTCTTCCTCCTGAAATTCTATGCTTTTATTATAATTGTATTTAGAAACAGTTAGCAACTCAAGTAAATACTTGAACATATGAGCACTTGCAGTTAATCATGCTTCCAATTGCACTGTTGTCGTCATCATCAAAGTTTTCCCCCTTCATTGAAAGGAATATAAAGCTCTAGAAAGATCACTACCAATAACCTTAATATTGCAGTCAGATTTGTGATCAAGGAAAATCATATACAAGAGACGGGGGCTTTCACTAACTCAATAGGCAAATAAAAAGATGCATGTCGTCAGGCAATTTAAGCTCGTTCCGAAAAGCAACCCTTTAAAATTTTGCATACACTAAGCAAATCTTGAAAAGGAAAAAGACTAAAGATTTTGTTAGTTGGATATACTTTCTTACACAAACAACCAATGAATAAATCAGAAAAACTTTCTCAACATTCTACGTCTAATCTTTTGCAGTGAGTCTTTTAGTTCCTTTTCGAGTAACTGGTGAATCCTTGTATGCTTCTTTTGGTTCAGCATCTAACACGAATGCTAGGGGAAAAAATTATGTACTAACTGCAATTTAGTGAAGAAGGTGTTGAATACATAACAGGTACATCCTAGTGAAAGCAATATAAAAAACTAAGTGTTGATAGTAATTACAAATCGTTGATGCATCTTTAGTTCTCGATACATTCAATTGAAAATCTGATATTATCACAAATGCAGGGTTGGGTGATATTCCGTGATTCAGCTTCTCTTATTGAAGCAGCCAGGTCTGTTGCTACACAAGTGAAGTGGGATACACGGGTAGTAGAGCTTGATGGCAATAATGATGAAAAACTCCTCTTCTCTCAAAAATTATTCTTCAGGAGACAGTAACGAGCTACATATACAAGAAAAATCTTGTAAAGTACATATAGCATTCGTTCATTCATCGATGGTGATCACCCATATGTTATGTCCTACTTCAAGAGAGGACTAGGAGTTTGGAGATGAGCGAGGAGGACCCGTTTTTTGTCAAAACCACAAAGGTATCCACACATTTGTGTAATTATACCACATGCATAGAGGTGGAGAGTATAGTGATAGCCTTGATTCACCAATCATGAAATTTTTATACGAAAGTATGAAACCGTGGAGGTTGAATTGCTTTTTTTTTTTAATTCTTGAGGGATCATCAAATAAATGATTTGTTGTAACATGTGATTCTTAGTCACGAACTACTATTTTCTCCTTATACCCACATTATTCTGTAAGATCCTGATTGTACTTTATGGACATACCTGTGAGTCGATAATGTCAATTTATTTATTAATTGTGAGATAAACTTTTCCCCTGTTTTCTTTGCTGTTTCTTTGATGTAAAAGGGCAAATTGATTGATGCACATATCTTAAAATTTTCGAGGCTGGTACCTTAATGATCTTTGGGTTTATTATTTGTACCAAGCATGACCACTATACGCTAGCATGCAAGATCTTAAAAACTTATATAAAGGCATGATTATGAAACTTTCATTTGAAATAAAAATGACGTCAATGTATATTTGTTGTATAGCAGCTTGTTGCGGAGCAAAAGTTGCATTTTATGTCCTCACCTTGGACAAAAAATAGTTTTAACATAGGTATAAAAAGAAAACTTGATGCTGGATATATACTGAGTTAGTGTATCAAATTCTAATAAAGATTTGCATGGTCATCAGTTCATCACGAATCGGGTACCGCCAACTTGTTTATTAATCCAAAGGTAGTGATATTTTTATTTATTTATTGTTTCGATAGTGATTATGTTTAGAACCCTTTTAAAGTTAATTTGACCAGATTTTTTAACAATAACGAAAGGACTTGTAAAAATGACAAATTTAAGGGTGAAAATAAGCGTCTTCTTATAACTCCTTATATGATGATATGATCGGATCTGAGATACAAGCCCAGAGTGGGGTTGAATAAGGTTGCTAACTTTTTTTTACTAAAAACACAGAATATATATGTAGCGGAAAAGATAAAATAAAAGCGATTAATGATAATTAACCATAAATAACAATAGTATGTCTATTCTTCCTTCTCACGGAGGGACTTTCTCACAATGCCAAGAGTTCTTCTAAATCATAAACCTAATTAAGTAGGCTTATAAGACCACATTCTGAAATCTACCTAAAAATAGTCGTGTAACCTAACCCTCCACAATAAGTAAAACCTAGCTTTAGCTAGTCCCAACCCTCAATCCAAAAGGACTTAAGTACGCCATTAAAACAAGTTCGAAACATAACCAAACAATCACAATTAAACTCAGAAAATATGAAAGATCTTACAACTCTTTTGATAAACAAACTGTCCTTCGATAAATCTAAGTGTAACACATTGAAGAATGGTGTAGATGATGAACCTAATGGCAACTCTCGTCGCTAAAACAATGCGGAGATGTTGTGCATGGCAAATGAGAGTTTGTTGAGGCTCCAGGGGTCCAAATCTTCAATAAAATCTCTTCTCAATCCAAAACCCTAAAACTCTCCATTCTCTTCATCTCTTTCTGTGATATGTAGTCCCCAATAGATCAAGAAAGTGATATTTTAAACATGGTAGAGTTTGGAGATCAAAGGAATGACGAAATATTGAGATTAAAACTTAAAATTTACAATCAGCTGACTTTATTATCGATGGTGACTCTCGACCATCCATGGTGTCGAAGCCTCATTGATGGGTTCCTATATGCCATCGATGATATAAAAAACTCTCTTGAGAAAATCATCAACTTGTCACTGTAGCCATTGATGCATAACTGTAGCCATAGATGAGACAGTGTTGACCATCGATGATCTCAACCCACCCCGATGAATCACTGTTGATCATCGATGGTGAGGAGGCTAAAATCAGCATTAGAGCTGATTTTCACATCGCTTTACATCATAAAGTTTTTACACATGCATTTACCTATATACTACATCATCTCAAATAAGTATCAGTACTAAATGATTGTTTGTTATTACTCAAACAAGAGCTAACAAGTATGACCGGCTCTGCACTTTGTTTCTCTCTCTGAAAACACCCCCCCTCTCTCTCTCTCTCTCTCAACCTTGAAACCGTAGAAATCCACACTAGTAGAAACCTTAGATCACGACGGAGAAGTTTCAATAGGCCTCCTACCGCCGTAGGTGGTTGGAAGAGGTCACTGTTCCCGTCGTGCTTTTTGTGATCGCCATATTCTTGTTTCTTGGAAGGACCTCAGTGAGAATGAAGGGAAGTGGAACAAAGCGGCGGTGATTGTTAGAGATTCTGAAGGAATCCAAGGACAAAGACAGATGAGAGTGTTCTTTTCTCAAAATATTTAGGACGTGTTTATTTTTTAGGGTTTTTTGTCTTTTACCCCAAAGTTTTACTCTAACTTATTTTTAAACCCATGTACTTATAAATGCCACTTAAACCCAAAAATACAAAGATCACTTATTTTTAAACCCAAGTCTTTATAATACGTATAAGTATACATTATATGCATATTAAAAACTCAATATCTCAATATTACCCTCTTCTTCATTCTCTCTTCAACTCTCTGCTCCCTTCCAAACAACTTTTCACCATCCCATTAATCACCGATCTCCTCTTCTGCCCCCTAACTTACACATTGAATCCCTTTCCTCCTCCTGATTGAGCTTTACGTTCTTCCTCCTACGACTCTTCCACTTCCTCCATAAAAGACTTCACCATGAAACTTGTACGCAACATCAAGTCCACCAACTTTCCCTCCATTCTTTGGCCAACAAGCTCAAACACTCCAAGCTCATCCTCAACTACCAACTGCTCAGACCAAATCTTCCCCATCCTCTATATTGACTTTAACCATTCAATGAGGTCCTCCTCTATATTGACTTTAACCATTCAATGAGGTCCTCGCTTAAAGATCAGCTTCACCATATTTGCCTACAGTCACAAGATTACTTTTATGTTGGATTGAATTAGACTTTACATTTAAGGCTTGAAATGCAAAAATGTATAGACAGTGTTTTTTATATATTGTGTGTTTGATAAAGTGCTTCAAAAGATTTTTAGTTGATTTGTAATATTTAAAAGGATTATATGTATTAAATAGAGTTTATTTGATGCATATTACATATTTGACTAAATGCTTTAAGAAGTTTTTTGATCGATTTGTATCATTTATAAAGATTATATAGCAAGTCGTCAATCGCCAATGGAGTTTATGAATGATATGGAATTCATAACGAGTTATATGTTGTTTTGAAAGGGCTATAACCCTTTATGATACATTATAGCTCTTATGATATATTGTAGCTCCATGTATGAGAAGTATAGCTCTTTAATGAAAAACGTAGCTCTTTATGGACAAAATATTAGCTTTTTTATGAGAAATGTATAGCTGTTTATGTGAAAAATAAAGCGCTATACTTTCCAAAAATAAAAAAATTGAGAGTGAACCTCTAGTCGACATGAATGGTTGATCAAACAACACATTGTATACATCACAACTCGTTTACATTGCTCAGGAAAAAAAACTAATTTGATTCTACTAAGTTTTAGAATTTTCAGAGACCATAAAGAGCTATACTAAGATTATAAAGAGATATACTTTTGCATAAAGAGTTATACTTTTATGATAAGGTGCTACACTTTAGTATAAAGAGCTATACTTTTCTAAAAAATAGAAAATTGAGAGTGGACCTCTCGTCGACATGAATAATTGATCAAACAACACATTGTATAGATCATCACACGTTTACATTGCTCACAAAAAACTGATTTGATTTATTCCGCTAAGTTTTAGAATTTCTAGAGACTACAAAGAGCTATACTTTATCAGTAAAGAGCTATACTACGGTCATAAAGAGCTATACTTTTGCATAAAGAACTATGTTTTTATGATAATGTGCTACACTTTAGTATAAAGAGCTATATTTTTCATAAAAAATGAAAAATTGAGAGTGGACCTTTCGTCGACATGAATAATTAATCAAACAACACATTGTATACATCATCACACATTTATATTGCTCACAAAAAACTGATTTGATTTATTCTGCTAAGTTTCAGAATTTTCAGAGGGCACAAAGAGCTACACTTTATCAGTAAAGAGCTATACTACGGTCATAAGAGCTATACTTTTGCATAAAGAGCTATACTTTCATGATAACATTCAACACTTTAGTATAAAGAGCTATACTTTTTTAAAAACTAGAAAATTGAGTGCGGACCTCTCGTCAACATGAATAATTAACCAATCAAAACATTGTATACGTCATCACACATTTACATTGCTCACAAAAAACTGATTTGATTTATTCCACTAAGTTTTAGAATCTTCAGAGGCCATAAAGAGCTACACTTTATCAGTAAAGAGCTATACTACGGTCATAAGAGCTATACTTTTGCATAAAGAGCTATACTTTCATGATAAGATTCAGCACTTTAGTATAAAGAGCTATACTTTTTTAAAAACTAGAAAATTGAGTGTGGACCTCTCGTCAACATGAATAATTAACCAATCAAAACATTGTATACATCATCACACGTTTACATTGCTCACAAAAAAACTGATTTGATTTATTCCACTAAGTTTTAGAATCTTCAGAGGCCATAAAGAGCTACACTTTATCAGTAAAGAGCTATACTACGGTCATAAAAAGCTATACTTTTGCATAAAGAGGTATACTTTCATGATAAGATGCTACACTTTAGTAGAAAGAGTTATACTTTTCAAAAACTAAAAAATTAAGTGTGGACCCCTCGTCGATATGAATAATTGATCAAACAACACATTGTATACATCATCACACGTTTACATTGCTAAAAAAACTGATTTGATTTATTCCGCTAAGTTTCAGAATGTTCAAATGCCATAACAACTACACTTTATCAGTAAAGAGATATACTACGATCATAAAGAGTTATACTTTCATGATAAGATGCTACACTTTAGTATAAAGAGCTATACTTTTTTAAAAACTAAAAAATTAAGAGTGGACCTCTTGCGACATGAATAATTGATCAAACAACACATTGTATACATCATCACACATTTACATTTCTTAGAAAAAACTGATTTGATTTGGCGAAGATGCGGTCGAAGCACTGGTTCATTGGAGCATTTGGGGCTCTGTGGAGAGAAAAGACGTCACTATCTCCAAATCTTCATCTTGAACAACTCTAAAGAATTCATGCTCGTCACTTGACCGAGCGCATGTTAGAGACTGACCCATTCCCACGTACCCCCTCTTTCGCCACCACTGCCTGAGCTCCGCCTCGATGCATGATAAAGCCGAAGGGTATTTTGCACTGGGAGGGAGTCTAAGGAGTGTGGGAGATGAGATTCTGAAAGAATTCATGTTG